ATTTTCTGATGCTAATTGGAATAGTAGAGGGGAATATATTATAAAGATCTGAATAATAGCTATGAAATTCAGAATAAATCCCTTGATAATTATAGATTTTAATGTTGCCAGCTATAGAAATGAAATTTTTATGGGATGTTGTGGGGATTGAGTTATAGGATGTTCACTAAATGTTTTCTGCATTTATTGGCCAATTTATAATGTACTTTTTCATCATATCTGTATTAGAGAATGGGAATGAAATAGGTACATCTCTCTTGACGTTTGACAGTTCATTTGGGCTTAGATGTTTTTTGTGTGGGGATTCAAGGAAAGTGATTTTAGTAAGGAGACAAATTATAACAGATGACTTTGCTTTTTTTAAAGCAGTACTAATGCCAAAAGTAAACATTTATTATATTGCAATTTACCAATTTTTAGATGTGATGGCTGCATTATTTTAGGCTTTCTTTTTTCTGTTTTCATCTGGTGATCCTGCCAGTAAGTCAGTTGTTTCTCAACAGAACAACCTCTCTTGATGTTAGAGGGATAAGACAGACCATTTAATAGGGGCAGGGGTGTTTAAAATAATCAGCTTTTATTTATTTATGTAGTAAAGTGGTAGCTGAGTTTAGCTTCAATTTGTTACTCTATTTAGATCTGTTAGTACATCTAACACCCCCCTCTCCCCAGACTGACAATGCTGCTGTCCAAATATTTTATTAGGGGAAATAACTTGGATGGGGTGATAGGGATTGTGGGATGCCCAACTTGACTGAATCAATGCACAAGAGCAAATTCCTTCCTATTTACAGAAAAAGATCCTGGACTGTTCTTCTCGAGTGTAGTCAGTCTTTATGGATCAGTAGCAAAAGCCCCTTACAGGCTAGGGACTCTCAGGCCCTCAGACAGGTAGCACTGTTTGGTGCAAACTACATGCAGAAGTATTTCCTCTCCCCTTTAGAACTGCTCCCAGCTCACAGCCTGCAGACTATACCAGCCCTCCTAGCTGCTCTAAAGATCTCCCAGGACAAGGATAAAGAATTAAGAACCACAATGTCCTTTGAAAGCTTTCTACATGTGGCAGTCTCTCCCCTTGTAAATCCCTGGGTGTGTGATGATATACTCACTCTGTCCTCCTTGCTCCCACTGCTCCCAAGCATTGATCCATTGATCCTTTTCATACCATGATGCTGAATGGATCTTCCTGAGCCAGCCCGAGCCCAGCCTAGACCTAGAGGACCCCTCCCAGGTCACCTACAGCCTCCTCAGCACTCCATCTTCCACCCAACTCCCTTGCTAGGCTGACTCTCCCATATTTATGGGTTAGCCTCACCACACTACCAGGACCTCCAAGCCTAGTATTGGTTAGACTTCCATAAACAAGCAGATTTAGCAGATTTAGATCTCCACCCCTTTCGCCCACTGGCTTCTGGAAGCTTCCATGGTCCTCCAGAACCAGGTGGAGGTGAAAGAGTTCCAACCTGCTGAGCCACCCAGCTTGACCTGCAGTAACCTGATCTAATTGCAGACTCTCACAGTTAACAAAAGTCATACAACAATAAATTTTATCTATATACTAGTAGCACACAAGAGGATGCTACACAAAAGAAAAAAAAGAAACAATCGATTACCAAGTATCAATTTGCGGAACCAAAGGTAGGTTATAGTCCTCTCAAGGATCAGATTATGGCATCTGAATTTTTTAAGGCTGGAGATGATGAAAGAGAAGTGCATCCGGTCCTGGTTAAGGCAGTAAATACAACAGTATACACAGTGTTGAAGATTTTAATTTTAAGAAAAATGAAATGGCCAGTGATAGCGACAAACAAGTGTAATACTTATGAAATGCAATAGGAACTCCTTTGGATTTTGCTATTGGGTTTGTATTATGAAAACACGGGTTATAAGACTTGTTATTAATAATTGGTATACTACTGGTATCACAATGTTTTTTTTTTTTTAAGACATAGAATTTTGGTTTTAGGCTTGAGTAGGTGGAGAAAAGTAAGAAAAAAAAGTGTAAGAGATGAGAGAGATGAATTACAGAAATATCACCAAGTAACAGCAGGTAACCAATCAAACTGCTGGTAGCTGGGTAGGTGTTGCCATCTAGTGGTTAAATAGTAAACTGAATAAAGAGCTTTTAACCTAATCAGAAGAGTTGTACCTAGACACAAAATTCCAGTGCACTGACAGACACTGAAAATCCTAGGTAGGGGAAATGTGGAAGTAACACCAGGAAGCTCCTGGCCCTGGGTTATTTGACACTATAATAATTAACAGGGGGTGAAATAATTGTTTTAAAATGAGAAATGAAATGCTAGTTATATTGAGTTCGGATTATAACAAAACTTTACATGTGTAGTCTCTGGTGTAGATAGAAAAACTGTAGTATAATAGTCAAGAGACTATAAAGTATATATTATTTAGTGTGTGAACTTCTATCAAAGTAAGGAAAAATGTCTGTATCAAGTTCCCTGGCTATGACCGTGTTCTGGAGTCACTAACAGATAAAAAAAATCTCAAAGGATGTTAATCAAGTTCAGACTTTTGCAGTACAAAGGAAGAGATCATGGGGATTGATTTACTAAAGATAAATATACTGTGCACTGCAAGTGCAGTTGTTTTATATCTTAGTTGAAGCTCTTAAATGAGGCAAAGCTCTGCTCATTTCTTTCATCCAAGCATGAGCAATCAAAAATACTGTTTTTTTTTGTTTTTTTTAATTTCCCTAGCATGTTCTCCTCAGATCTAAAGCAACTGCCTTTAGTAAATCAACCCTCATGTGTTCTCTTGACCTAAGCAACTGATAAAGAAAACATAATATCACATTCTGCATGTGATATATTGGGTTATAGGCATTTACTTGTAGTTGGTTACCCTCAGTTGTTTTTTGTTTTAAGTAACTGATTAATGTATGTCTACAGTGGAAGACAGGATCAAACAGTTATTCTTGTGGATAATGAATATGATGGAAGAAGAAAGTAGGAATTCTGATGGCACTGATGATGTGTTCATTCACTTAGGTCTTTACGAGCCATGGGGCAGCCCTTTTCTTTTTGAATTGTTGCTGCTAACAAAGTTTAGTTGATAAACGGGGTGTTGTTGACTTCAGAAGCAAAGTGATATGGAGTAGTTAATGCAGGTAGATCTCCTAAGTTGCGGAAGACAACTGACTTTCCTTCGTGATGGGCAATAAGTTGAAATGGGAAGCCCCAGAATTTTATATTTTTGGCACAAGGAGTTTCTGTCTCAGACTTAAGAGCCCTGAATGTCACCAAAATTTAGAGTGATAAATCTGGCAATAGAAGGATCAGAGTTCCATTAAATAGTAAGGTGTATCTGAGTTCTTGCTGTTTGAAAAGTTTCTTCTTTGATATTTTAAAAATTAATCCTGTAAATAGTGTCCCTGGTAAAAGCCAGGTCAAGGTTTCTAGATCCTAAAGCTCTATAGATTCAGTCTATCTCAACAAGAAAATCTTTGTTTTTGAACAAATGTTAAAGATTGCAGTGGCAGCAGCAGATGGATCTTTGGTTTCCACAGACTCTGGGAAGCCTCATATTATATTGAGGCTTCCTGTTTTCAAGGTAGTCTTCCTGGTACAGTGCTTGGTGTATCAAAATTGTTCGCTCAAATAAGGTTCATTTAAGATCCTCTGTTCTAGGTCCCCTTATCATAGCTACCATGTTATTTTTGACTTCTGCTATTTCTTGTCTGTATTTATTATTTAAATGGTTGACAAAGGATTCAAAATCGTGTCTGCTGAATAACAGACTCCATATCTCAGCCCTCCCAAGAGCTGAAGGATGTTTTGGACAGCCTCCTGGATCTTGTGGATAGTTTGCCTGAGCCCTGAGAAGAGAGGGTCATCGCTGAGAGCTCACATGTGCAGTGGCATTAGTTTCCAGGGAGGAAGGATCAGGCACCATCTTAGCTGACCATTTCAGTCTGGCCCTGGGAATAGAGGCTGAATTACAAAGTAAAGAAACAGCTCATTTCCTTTGGGGTCTGGCCACTACCAGTCTTCTCTTCCTATTTATTCTGCTGGCCACCTATCTGTGCTGTTGGATGACTGTGGTTTGGAGTCACTGAAATATCTGTTAAAAGAGGGAACTGCAGTCCAAAGTGTTTCACTGCGTCATGCGCCAAGCATTGTCCCCTCCCAAAATGGTTAAGTAGCATTGTGTTTCAATGCAGTAAACAGCAGAGTTCATAAACTTCAAAGTTCATAAGGTGATGTGTACAGTCTGATGTACAAGTAAATGCTGCTGTACTCTTGTAAACTCTGTTGGTTTTCTCCATCAGCAGTAACACATCCATGTGCATACAATGTATTTCCCAAATTAAAAACTTCTGAATATGTGACATAAGTCATACATGGTTAAACATTGAACATTGAACTACGGAAGCATCAGTATTTACATGAGTATTGTCAGGCACAGCCATTCATTTATAGCTGGTTGTACGCAGCCTCTTTTATTTTATAACATTAGTATTATAACAATAGTTATTTTTGAAAACCCAAAATACGCTTACTTAAAAATCCCCTTTCATGTAGTGAGTTCTGCCTGTCTGCTGGTCATCACTTTCCCAACTTTCTGGATTCCCTGCATGCTTTACAGCTTCTCTTCTGCTATTTGCATTCAATTTCTAAGGACTACATATCCCATGGTACCTTGTGGCCTGCAAGCTGTGATTCCTGCACTGACTCTGCCTCTTGAAACTCTGCCTCTCAGCACCTCTGTAGTTCAGAAGGCAGGCTCTGTGAAATGTGTGACACAGAGGTGCCTACTCACGGGGCATAGAGAATATGTGTCACAAAATGCAAGAAGTAAATGCGTGGGGATCTTTACAAGGTAAGTTTACAATTTTCAGAAATACAATGTGGAAATGAATATATGATTAATAATTTTGACCATAGATACACTTTAAGCTAACATCCCATACAAACTTATAGTAAAATACTTGAATTTAAATTACATCATAAAATATAAATGTCTGCTAATCTTCCTTGCAGAGATTTCAGAGCCAGCAAGATGGAGGGGCTATTTCTCCCGATGTCCAAAATCATACAGACATTACTGCGTAAAAGGAAAATGTCGGTTTGTTGCAGCTTTGAAGGAACCCTCTTGTAGGTAAGTGGTAACATGTTCAAGTATGTGCTTCTCTGGAGTAAACAGCTACTTCATGTTGCTTCAGACAGCTCTTCGGGAACAGACCCTACTCCTAAACACTGCCCCTGCTCACAATCTCCACCCCTTCAACATGGGCCAATCAGCAGGGAAGTTGTGTTAGATTTGGTAGTCTCTAGAAAAGCAGTAACCTATCAAGTGCACAGCTCGGTGTATAATTTTAGTATTTGCTGAGATGAACGAACTCTACCCAGACAATCAAAACAGCTAGAGATTGGAAACTGGAAGAAGACTGGCCAAAGATGTCAGTGGCTGGCAGAAAGCTCTTGGATATATGGAGTGGAGGTGACTATAATTTTTGCTCTCTAGCTCCCTTGCCACCTTCTTCCATGCTCACCTCCAGGACTTCTCCAGAATCTCTCCCATCCTTAGGAACTCCCTCCCCAGTATGTCCAGTCAGCCCCCACCCTGTCCGCCTTTAGGCGATCTTTGAAAACTCACTAATTCAGGGAAGCCTACCCCACCTCCACCTAAGAACTGTACTTGAGCCATCTCAATCAGATCATCCCCTGCAGCTATCACCTTTTGTACCACCTCCCCCTTCCTTTAGATTGTAAGCTCCATAAGCAGGGCCCTCCAATTTATTCTGTATTGAACTGTATTGTAATTGCACTGTCCCCCTTTATATTGTAAAGCGCTGCGCAAACTGTTGGCACTATATAGATCCTGTATAACAATAATAATAATAAAAGTTCTTATTTAAATTGGGCCTCAAGGGGTGTGAGAGCATGAGTAAAGCTGTCCTCTTCTTCAAGGCTGAACACAAAGTGCAGCAGGTCACTGGGCTAAAAATTAATTCTGAGTGGGGGAGCGTTTGATGAACCCTTACTACAAAAGGTATATTACAGATGTCAGGGCTGGACCCTCTAGGGAATGGCCACTGATGTATGTAATGGCAATTAATGTGATAAAAGTACACAGATGCAAAAGTAGCCCTGAGCTTGTTTTAATTTTAATCTGCACACTAAGTAGAAGTGGTCTTCTAATTCTAACCCCCAAATCCAGCTATGAGATGCAATGGAAGTCATACAAATAAAATTCTTTATCTAATTCTAATGTTTTCTTACAGGTGCGAAAAAGGATATACTGGGAAAAGGTGTGAATACCTTGATTTATTTTATTTAAAAGAAGATCGAGGTCAGGTTGTTGTGATTAGTCTGATTATCGCCATGGTGACCCTCATAATTGCCATTATTTCCATATGCATCTGTTCACAGTAAGCTGTCTATTTAATATTCATCTGTATTTTTTGTCTGAGCTGGCTATTGTTGTTTTGTATGAAATAGGGGTCAAAAATACAATTTCCATTAGATTTTCCACAACTATGGAATAGGAGGACCCACCTATCTACCCAATCACTCTGTAGCCAATCAGGCAGGGCCTTGCACTACGTGGTTGATGGTAGATCTAAAGGAGATTGTACAATCAGATTGTATTGCGTATGTGAACTTTACAGAACCCAGAACACAATTCTCCTGTTTTCAATACTATAGCTCTATCCACATAGGCTGTTATCTGTTCAATAAGCACACTATGCCAAATGAATGATCTATGCAAGATGAAAGTTAAGGTAGAAAAATAAAAATTGATGTCTGTGTATTTAGTGAGAACAGTGATCACTGATTGATTGCTTTTCATTAAATATTTGTGCACCTGGAAGTGGGAGGGGAAGGTATGAGGGTAGATGATACAGGGTGTGTTCTAATGAGGTCAGCTGGTCATCTCCTTCCTATGTCATGACCTAAAGTCTTTGCAGGAAATAAGGCATAAGTAATGGAAAAGCTTTTTTGTGCAGCCATCTGGACACTGACAGGTGGGTAGAAAAAAATGGAAAGCTTTTGAATCTCTGCAAAAGAAGTACATTAATGCTATAATGGTACAAAGGGGAGCTGGAATTTAGAAAAAAAAAGTGAAATTTTCCTTTAACAAATATTCCCTTGCTGTCTTCTGAAATATCTTTCAGCCAGACCATACAACACTTCAACAGATAGGTCTGTTTTATATACCGTATTTTCCGGCATATAAGGCGACTGGGTGTATAAGACGACCCCCTAATTTTCCAGTTAAAATATAGGTTTTGGGCTATACTCGCCATATAAGACTACCCCCCTTCTGAGGCAACACCATTTAAAAACATCAGATTTTTTAATTGAAATGGTTATGACTTACCAGTACTTAAAATCCTTCAAAATCCTCATGTTCATCCTCTGACATCATAAGTTCATGAATGACATCTTGTGATACTTTTGTAAGACAGTCATCATATGGATCAAATTCCAAATCAAATGGTTACCGCTGGATGTGCGGTAATACGGTAGCTTCGGCTACATACAGTATACAGTATATATACAGCCCGCTGGATGTGCAGTAATGTACATACAGTATACCGCGCTGAGCCAAGCTGGCTCAAAACAAATGTCCCTATGACAGATTAATCTGTCAGCCCACTGGATGTGTGGTATATACAGTATACTGAGTATATACCACGGTGGTATATACAGTATACTGAGCCAAGCTGTTTCAAAATGTACCGGTACGTCCCTACTGTAATCAGCCCACTGGATGCGTGTATGTACGGTGGCTGTGGCTACATACAGTATACACTGAGCCAATCACGGCGAGCGATGTATTCTACTAATGAATACAAAGCTTGCTCGGATTGGCTGAGGTTGTGACATAATGAGCCCACCTCCCTGACTCAGCCAATCCGAGCAGGCTTTGTATTCATTAGTAGAATACATCACTCGCCGTGATTGGCCAATGTATACTGTATGTAGCCACAGCTACCGTACATACACGCATCCAGCGGGCTGATTACAGTAGGGACGTACCGGTACGTTTTGAAACCACTTGGCTCAGCGCAGTATACTGTATATACCGCACATCCAGCGGGCTGACAGAATAATCTGTCATAGGGACATCTGTTTTGAGCCAGCTTGGCTCAGCATGGTATTCTGTATATACAGTATTACCACACATCCAGCCAGCTTGACCCAAACAAACTCAAGGTTCACATTTTATACCCCGCGTATAAGACGACCCCCAATTTTTGGGGTATATTTTTAAGTATTAAAAGTAGTCTTATACGCCAGAAAATACTGTATTTCCATTTACTTCCTGTTCTATAGAAACAATATGAAGTAAGTGGTAATCTCTCAAAGGATTGTCACCAACACAAATGTCCTTATTGGAAGATTTCAACTCTCCTTATGTTGTAGTCACAACTATAAATTTTGACTCTTCTTTCATTCTCAGTCCATGGTGGCAGTAGTCACTAGGACAAATGAAAACATTACAAGGATTGTTAAGATGGACATGCAACACGTTCCTCCATTCATGTAATGGAGGTAAATGGAAGAAACTCCTCACCAGGATATTCTTTTGCTGTCAAAATACACTGTTCAAGGCCTGTTCAGCTTTTTGGCTGCAGCCACTGATTAATGGAAACATTTCCAATAATGAAAAATTTTCCAACATGCGTGGAATTCCAGGGGTTCCCACAGAGTGATCATATATTGGTCATTGTATGGCCATCTTTACTCTTCCACACACCATCCAAGGCTTAAAAAGGTTTTGATTTTAATGTGGTAGTAATCGCATTAAAAAAAAAAAAAGTTTCCTGCTGCAAGGTAATATCATAATGTGCTGGTGTGCATTTCATACTAGCACATTATGAAAGACTTACCTTAAAACAAATCCCTCCAGCAGCGCATTGTCACCGCTGCAGAAGGCTTCCATCTTCATCTGGCCTTCCTTCCGGGTTCGCAGGCTGCAGCTGCTTGAATGGCCAAGCCGTCAATGACAATGCATGCGTGCTGGAGTTTTGGCCACGGCACATAGCTCTGAGGAGGTATTGTCATCGGTTGCTGCTCCATAGAATATCTCCCAAATGGTGAATGTTTAGGAGATATTCATTTTACCTACTGGTAAGCTTTTTTATAAGCTTTCCCTTAGGTAAAAATATACAAAGTGACTTTACTATCACTTTAAATACACTTTAAGACTGTAATGACATATTATTCAAGAATGTATATGAACACCAAAATCTGTGCAGCTGGTTAAATTGTAGAAAATAAGGACAAAAAAGGCAATGACAGAGACCAGAAGTAAAAGGAAAAAGATTAAAGAAGCTCTTTATAGGTTATTATGGCTTCTCAAAGTTCAGACTCGTGTTCACACATATAAAGTACATTAATTGGATGTGTTTTATAATGCACTGTGTTTGTTCTTTGACAGTCGTTGCAGAAAAGCACATAGAAGAAAACTGAAAGCAAGGGAAATAGAAAACCTGAATAATGATTCCACAGTGAAGATAGAAGAAACTAATTTTGCCTAGAGGTAAACAAATACATCTTATATTTTGACAGATAACGGTATTAGGTTTTACACAGAAGAGAAGCCCAGAGAACATCAACTACAAAAAATTAAATAAAGTTTTGCCTTTAGTTATAGTTTAACTAGTTCCAGACTTCGGGTGTGCTACACACGCCCAAATAAAGGTAATCATTGTGCAAAGGACATATGTAGCATGTCCAGTCCTTCTGCCCTGCCGCCCACTCCCAGCACACAACAATTCACTTCTAATTACAAAAAAAAAAATCAGTCTGACAGTGTTTATAAATAACATTTGCTCAGATTCTACAGAAAGATACAATGTAAACTATTGTTACTTTTTTATCTTTCTGTTCAGTCATCTGTAGATCAAAGTGATAAACTTTGATGTCAGTTAAAGCAACCTAACAAGTAAAAAAAGTTTTTTTTTAAATAAAATGTTTCTGTTTAAACCCTTGGTTAACGCTCAACAGCCCTAATTGACTCCTTATTCTCCATATCCATTCAATTATTATTTTCCTGCAAATGTTTTTTTTTGTTGGTTTCTATTCTTAAAACTATTAATACTTAAATTTTTTTTATACGTTTGGCTTGTTACTATTTTTTTACTCATTTAACACATAGATCTTAAAAAGAACCAGCCAAGCACAAAATGACAGTTGTTAAAAATAGTTTTCATTGATGGAAGCTATACATTACCACTGGGGGGGGGGGGGGGGGGGGGGTTATGATGGGTGGTGGACTAATGAAAGATTTTCAACCAAGAGAGCAGCAACCAGCAAAAGGTACACTTCTAACTGAGCGTAAGTACTTGCGCTAATTAATAAATAAATAAACTTAGGCTTAAAACTGAAATCTGGGGACACTTGACTGATGTCCACTTTTACCTGCACTCATAAAACCAAACCCACAATTGTAGGCCACAGACTTTTTAAACAGGAGAAACATTGAAGGCATAGAGATGAAATGCCTTGGGCACTACAAATAGAGAAATGATGTGGTGTGACAATTATAGGAGTGGCCAAATTGAGTAACAGTTGGGAGGTTTTTAAAGGGGTATGGTAAATAAAGAGGACCCACTCTGCTGCAGGTCACGAGTGCAGAACACAGAGAATGCAAGAGTCTGGAGTATATAACAAGAGTCAGGAGTGCCTAGGTCACAAGGGTAAAGAGTGCATAACTAGAAAATGGGGATCAGTAGTACATAAGGAGTATGGAATAAACAGGGTGCAGTGGTCAGGAGTATGACGCATAGAGTTCAGAGGTCTGAAGTGCATACCACTGCATGTACGGGTCAGAAAGATATAATTTTCACATCAGTGTACACAGTAGAACCAAAATTCCCCCCTCCTAATACAAATCCACCCAGTACAGATCCCTTTCCCTCAACTCCCTCCCAGTACAGAGCTGTCAGCCCCCCAAATCAAACTTTCCAAATATCCCAATACAGAACGTGCCCCCCTGTACAGGACTTTTCACTCCAGGAGAGAACTCTCCCCACTAAACAGACCTTTCCTTTCCAGTACAGACATCTCCCCCCCAGTAAAGATCATAGATCCCCCAGTACAGACCTCTTCCCCCCTCCCCTCCCCTCCCCAAGTCCACGTATTAGACCTAAGATACTGCAGCAGGGCGCCTTGAGGGGAACTGTGCTCCATGCCACAGCTCATCAGAGCGAGGAGGAGTTTAGGGCAAACCTCAACTCTATAGCCGCTGTGTTTGAGGTCTGAACATGCCAGTGGCTGCAGTGCACATTGCACTGCAATGCCAAAACTTTGAAAAGAAAACTCAGGTGGTCACAGCTTCAAGAACTTGGGCACCCTACACCCTACAAGAGATGCAGGGACTCTGTGCTAGCAATGCCCTTTAGTGCACTGGGAGTCTTGTTTCCCAGGGAGAGATTCCTCCAAATTGGGACTGTCCTCAGGAAATCAGAAGAATGGTAATTATGATCTAGGCAATATTTTTATAATATTCTTAGAGGGCGTGAGCAATGACAGTCCTGTATTTCGTTAGGCACAGATTCCCTATAGGAAGCTAGACTGAATTTGGCAGGACTCATGTACAGCACTGTCTCTGGTAGTTAATGTACAGATATGTGCACATGTCATGTACCTGAGAGGAGACTGAATTGATGAGGTTTGCCTCTCTTGTATCTCTAGCCCAGGCCCCACTTGAGAGTGGAACAGAGGGTACAGAGGGACAGGAGGAAAACGAGTTCCAGCAGATGTTGATAGGAGAACCTGCAGCAGGAGATGCGGTCCAAAGGAAACTGGTGGATCATCAGGTCAGGAACAGCAGTCCTGCTCATTAGTACAGCCGAGGTTAAAGGGGCACTCCACTTACACTGTAGACCCAGGATGTGTGGCTTGTCTTGCAGACTTGTGACAGGAACTTGAGACAGAAGCACGGTTACAGGATTAGCCAGGGTCATCAACAGGTGGGCAGTGAGGTACAGAATCATGAGCAAAGCCAAAGTCAGGAACAAGCCGGGTCAGGAATGAGCGACAAGTCAAGAGCAGAATACAAGATCAGGTCAGGAGGATGCTGGGTTAGTAACGAAGGGAGCAAACAGGATGAATGCAGGACACAGGGAACAGCTGAAGACCAATCAACACTGGAGCACATGAACTGTGACTGGGCCAGAGCAACTTCAGAATAGGTAAGTATAGACATCTTTTCTTTTACAGGGTAGATCGAATAGGCTTAGAATGGGGGTGGGAGTAGAATTAAGATTAGTTAGGTTTTGACTTGCCTTCCATTATAATTAAACATCTCTTTTATGATTTTATTTGTACAGGTTACAATGGAGCGACCTGCAGGCAGGTTTAATGCTGCTGTTACAGAAGAGAATAAGCTCTGCCATTGGATAAATGTGGAAGACTACGCATGTAAAATGGAAAGACTGTATATCCAGTGACTGCGGCCTGGATTAGGTTTTGATGATTTAGTATGAAAATTTTTTTTTCTAAGCACAAGGTATCAGCATCCAGCAGCCAGAACCCCCCTTGTTAGTTCTGTGTTTCCTGACTGAGCCCAATCAATAGTGTTTTGCAATATTTATTTTGGCAGATATGACTAATTGTGGAGATTGTTAAACTGATCAGTTTTTCTGGTTAGCCTTAAGCTGCTCATTGACTTCAGCGGGTGGTTGATTTCACTAGTCTGTAGTTTTATATATATATATATATATATATATATATATATATATAATATACTTGCAAGATCAGTGCAGCCAAATGACTTCTATAGGAGAGGAGATACAGATGTAAACACAATACTATTTTATATTGGAGAGCCCTCCCCTTCCTCTTACAATGGTGAATTATTCATTATTCATTTCTTAGTAGAAGATCACAGGCAGCAGCTGATAATTAAGGTATTCATTCGATTCTAACCTGTCTCTGCAGTGACATGATATTAACCCCATCACTTTCCTTATCCTGCACATTAACCCCCTTATCTCTCTCCTCCCACTGTATGTGACCTGTACATTAACCCTTTCATCTCCTCCTCCACCTGCATATGACATGTACACCGAGTATGACCTGTGCATGTGGGAAGTGTTCCCCCTGTGCCGCAGGAGTGAGCTCTTGGCTTCGCCTCTGCTGCAAGAGAGAGTGCACTGCACATGCATGGGTTAGGAGCGAAGTTGAGAGCTTGTTGTGGCATTGCAGGGGGCATTCTTCTAATGGTTGGCTTGCCTAGGCAGCACAACATTGGCCATCAGGTAAGGAGTTTTTGAGACAGGCTTGAGAGACTGAGCTTAGACTACAGATATGCCATTGACAACAACTTCTTTTGCACAATCTGAATGGTAGATTTTGATTCAATGGGGATACTTAAATGCATGGGTTGTTTTAGTGGAAATGTGAAGTAAACACTTATGTACACTCCAGGTTCTCTTCTCATGGAGTACAGTGAACCCTAAAAACAGCAAGCAGGTGCCAGGCCCTGTTGTACAAATTATGACCCTGATGGGGTGTAGGCACTTTGTAAATTCCAGTTTACACAAACCCTTAGTGAATAGCAACAAAACTAAAGCTGTCTTCATATATTACAATCTCAATGTACAATCTACACAGTTTAAAAAAAAAATTGTACAGAAATCTAACTGTAAGTGGACCCATGTCAAAGCCAATGAATTAAAAAAAAGTACTCCAAAATATTTGGATGAAGTTGCACAAAATGGTGGACATGTGGAAACAATTTTCCAAACCTAGGCTAATTACAAAGATGGTTATACAACTTACAATTTCTTTTATTTCTTTTTTTTAAGCTGTTTTACTTACATTTTGATTGCAAGATATTTGCATATTTGCCCCATTCATCTCAAAAGTAGTAGATCACACACTCAAATTGTAAGTGTGTGGCTAGATATAGGTATAACTTTTGCTTTCCCTTGAAGATTATTATTATTATACAGGAATTATATAGCGCCAACAGTTTGCGCAGTGCTTTACAAAATGAAGGTAGACATTACAGTTACAATTTGGTACAAGAGGAAACAGAGGGCCCTGCTTCTTAGAGCTTACACTCTAGGAGGAGGAGTTGAGTGATACAAAATTAAATAGCTCTGGGGGGTAGAAGATGGGGTATCTTGTGTATTACAACATAAACTTTTTCTAGCAGGAATCCAATTTACATTTATTTAAATTTAAAAAAAGTTATGATATTTAAAATATTTTAAACCTTTACATCCTTTGCATTCCCTTTTCACATTAGTATTTGATGTAGTGGACTTTTATTCTGAGGTTTATAGGAAATATACAGATATAGAGTATATTAAGGTCATTTCTTGACTATTCAGGCACAGAAGAGGTCAAATATATGAAAGCTCCTATGCTATACCAATACCATATATTAAAGCTGGTATAAACCAGAAGCTTTCAAAGTCTGTCATAGGGAGAAATGATTAGAAAATATCATAACTGAGTTATAGTAGCTGTTTTTAAGTTAACTCATCCACTCATTTATTGCCGTGTCGCATATGGACACATCAGA